GGAGTATTGCTCTCCTCTTCTTATGACCAACTTGTGCTCCTGGACCCTTGTTTTTACCCTCTTAGAGGTCTCGCCCACGTAGTTAGAGGGGCAGTCCTTACAGTTGATTTTGTACACAACCCCCAATTTCTCTGCCGTGGGGAGCGGGTCTTTAGGCCTCATAACACATGAGCGTAATATACGGACAGGTTTATGTGCCACCCTCATGTTGTGGGGTGCCAATAATCTGGCGATAGCCTCTGAGACATTGCTGACATAAGGAAGGGTGACGTGTCATCATGGATGCTGGTGCCCCCATCTGCTGAAAGTTAGGGGGTCTGTAGAGTATACCATGGTGCTTAATGAACCTGGCTGGGTAACCAGCCTACAAATGTGAAAGAGATATTTCTTCTCTTCCACCTTGGCTCTGGCCGTATTGCAGTGGGAATCGACCCTCTTGAAAAGAGTTCTAATACAGCTAACTTTGTGGGCCACTGGGTGATTACTATGATAGTGCAGAATCCTATCAGTGTGTGTGGGTTTGCGGTAAACTTTGGTTCCCAGGGTACCATCAGGCTGGCGATGAATTAAAACATCTAGGAAGGCCAATTTACCCTGGTGTTCTTCCTCAGCAGTGAACTGTATGTCCACACACACTGAATTAAGTGTGCCCACAAAGTCAGCCATCCGGCTCCTCTTGATGACGACAAAAGTGTCATCAATGTAGCGGGCCCAGAACGTGGGACGATACTGGGCCATCGCTACATGTTCTAACTGCTGAAAAACGGCCTCGGCTATAATGCTCTAAATTGGGGATCCCATGGGGGTGCCTTTTATTTGCTCATATGTGGTGCCCTGAAACGTGAAGAAGGTTTTTAGGCACAGGCTCAAACGGTCCACAAGATCCTCAGGGCGAAAGGAATCATGGTACTGACCCAATCCCTTGCAGTGGAGGAGATCTTTAACAGTCTTGACAGCCAGATCCTGTGGGATAGAGGTGAAGAGGGAGATGACATCAAAAGACACCATCACCTCATCATCCTCTATCCTCAGGGCTTTAATCCTGTCAAGAAAGTCTCAGCCGATCGAATGGTGGTATGGCTATCATCGACCAAGTGGCTAGTACGATGGCTAAGCCACTTAGCTAAGCCAGAGATTGGGGTGTTTCTAAAGGAAACAATGGGTCAAAGAGGGATACCCTCCTTGTGGACCTTGGGCAGCCCATAAAACCTAGCTATGGCAGTGTCACTGGGGCGTATCCCCATAAGGGTATGATCATCAATCCTCTTACCACGCTTCAGGGCATTGAGCACTTTGTTGACCCGGTTCTTAAGGGCCACCATGGGGTCCCCACTTACGACCCTATAAGCCGTGGTGTCACTGAGTAGCTCCAAAGCCTTGCCAACATAATGTACTCTATCCATGACAACAGTGGCCCTCCCCTTGTCAGCCAGCAGCACAAGGATAGTATCATCCTCCTTGAGCTGGGCCATAGCTTTCAATTCCTCTTTGGACAGAGCCTGATGGTGCCTATAGCTCATGAGGAGTCCCGTTACCTGCTGTCTGATGGTATCTTTGATGTCTTCACCCGTTTTGATGCGGTGCAAGGCGGGCTCCAACGCCGCCACAAAGTCCAGGGCATGAGCATCCGTCAGATTGCACCCTACATTGCGTTGCAATAAGGTGGATTGGGCCTGGGTCAAAAGTTTGCTGGAAACGTTGTAAACCAGCTTGTCCGGTGGGTTGCCTTTGTTGGAGTTGTGTAAGCCCTCAATTCTATTTCGGAACTTGGTTGTGGTTTGTAGACTCACATTCTTAGTGGCCCAGCAAATATGTTGGTTTAACTGCAGGAAGTGCTGATTCATAAACTCCACCCGACATCTTGCACGATAGTTACGAATGTATCCCATTAAGCCACTATTGCGCCTATGCAAATCATTAATGATCGCACGCATGGTTCTATGTTGGAACTGGCGAATTGCATGGTGGCATTCTAACGAGTCAATCGTGGGTTTCCTCCTCAGCGACTTGGGGGGGAGGTCTTCTTTGATACAAGTATGCAGGAATGCCAATTTACAATAGTTGTCAGAGATGCGGCAAGCGAGTTTCTCCCATCTCCTGGCTATGAGCAAAGCTGCTCTTCCATAATTATTAAAAAGAATATTAAAAATAGAAGCATGATTCCTGGGTGTGTACCTGTTGAGAATAAAATTTGATCACCAGGAAAAGTTAAAACGTGAAAAGTTTTAATATAAAACAGAAGTTTTAAATAAAACATTGAAAGTTTTAAAAAATTAGCAACCTAGCTTTTGTTGGCTCCTGCCAACTTCATCAGGGCGTACATAAATCAATGGGAATAAACATTTATATATAAGTTAACGCCTGCGCCCGACTTATGGACCACGTAATGGGTCCAGGTCGGCCAATCGTAGCATTCGTTGTAATTGCTGCATGATTGAGTGACTCATCTACTTGTATCACGCGTCCCTCATGAAGGTTTAAACAAGCTTCCGACTCTCCACTCATCCACATCCGTGGTCTGTGAGAATCCTCGATCTTATTTAAACTCGAGATGTCATTCTCACCAAGTCGTTTCCCCCTTTTTCTTCCTTGGGATTCTCCGTACATTCTGTATTATTTAAAACTTCTGTTTTATATTAAAACTTTTAACGTTTTAACTTTTCCTGGTGATCAAATTTTATTCTCAACAGGTACACACCCAGGAATCATGCTTCTATTTTTAATATTCTTTTTAATATACATATACACGCATACATACATACATACATACATACGTTTTCTGAGGTTTTCGCGGGTGTTTGTATGTAGGTCTTTGGTTATTCGGGTTTTCTCCCATGTAAAATTGGAAGTGTCTTGGCGACGTTTCGACAAAGTCCCATTCGTCATCTTCAGGCTGGTGTTTTCAGCTTCGTTCTCCTATTTTAAAAAAAAGGATGCTAATTTGGATGAGTGGCAGAAGAGTATCAATAAATTTATCTGGAGTGGGAAGAAATCAAGGGTAAAGTTCAAGATTTTACAAGACACTCAAGAAAGAGGTGGACTTAAAGCACCTAATTTGAAATTATATTATGATGCGGCACTTTAACTTTAGTAAGTGATTGGCTTAATTTAACAAATAAAAATATTCTTGCTCTTGAAGGTTGGGATTTATTATATGGTTGGCATGCATATTTAATTTTTGATAAGAAAGTAGATCTGGTTTTTAAGTCACACATTTTAAAGAATGCTTTACTTCGAGTCTGGAAGAAGTATTATTATAAGTTAAATTATAAAATACCTATTTGGGGGATTCCTGGACAAGCAATTCAGGGGGGTTCTAAGGGGGTGAATTTTGATAATATTTCGTATAAAGAATTACTTATTTGGTCGGGTACTGATTGGCAATTAAAGTCTTCAGATGTGTTGAGGCAAGAAAATATTTTACAATCGTGGTTTCAATATTTGCAAATAGTGCAGAGATGGACTTTGGATAAGAAAGTGGGAATTACTTTAGTAGACGAAAATTTGGTAATACAGATCAAGGATCAGAAATATGCCCATATTAAAAGAATTTACAATGAGTTAATAAAATTGGATTCAGAAACAGAGTTAGTAAAAGATTGTATGATTAAATGGGCCCAGAATATTCAGGAACCGATTTCATTGGATTTATGGGAGGTAATTTGGACCAGAAATGTTAAATTTACGCAGGCCCAAAATTTGAGGGAAATTTTTTATAAAATGTTTTATAGATAGCATCTGGATCCTAAAAAGTTGTCCTGAATGTACCCGAACCTGCAACCTAAATGTTGGAGATGTGGTTGCTTGGATGCAACCTATTTTCATGTTTGGTGGACTTGTAAAGATATTAAAGCTTTCTGGATTATGATTTGGTTTTTAAAAGGAAGATTAAGTTTACTCCCCAACTGTTTCTTTTGGGCATTTTTGTGGATTTTAATGTTAAAGAAAATATTTTATTGTTGAATTTAATAACAGCAGCAAGATTATTGGTGGGTCAATATTAGAAGAAGGATACTCTGTCTTCTTTAGAAGAATGGGTATTTAAGGTTTCTAATTTAGCAGAAATGGCTAAAATTTCTGCTTATTTAAAGGACCATTCACAAGAGAGATATTTTAATGTATGGAGAAGATGGATAGAATATGTTCAGAAGAAGTATGGAACTACAAAGTTTCATTTATTTTATGAGTAATGGATTTGTTTATAAAATTATGATAAAGTTTGAAGAGAGTTAAGGGTTAGTATGATTTTGGTTATTGTATAATTAATAAACTTAAGTAGATTATGTTTAATATGTTTGTATAACCCTGTACTTGGCTCTGGGAAGTCAGGGGGAGGGGGGTGAGGGGAGGATGGGTTGGAGGTTAAATAGGTCAGATAAGTAGAAATAGTTTTATTGTATATAATATTGATGTTTCAATTTGGAGAGAGGAATTGCTCGGGCATTTCCCCTGGACTGCATCCGGAGTGAGAAGATAGGAGGAAGGGGAGAAGTAAGTAGGAAGGTGGAGGAGAGGGGGAGAGTGAGGAAGAAGAGGGAAAGAGGGAAGTGAGAGAAGAGGTTAGACGGTGGATGCGGTTTGAGGGGAAATGGATGAGCAATACCGAAAGTTGTGTGTATAAATTTATTCTATTCTTTATCTGAAGTACTCTTTATGAATGTAATGAAAAATCGAAAATAAAAACTTTTTACAAAAAAAAGAAGAAGAGGAGGAGGAGACTGGACAGCCATTTGTCCCAAATGGTATAGAGTTTCCTGCCTGAGCAGGGGGTTGGTCTAGATGACCTCCAAGGTCCCTTCCAACTTTACTATTATTATTATTATTATTATTATTATTATTATTATTATTATTATTATTATTATTATAGTTTGTGTTATTTTTTATGTTCTCTTTCAAACTAAGGGAACCTTGGGATGGAGAGGGAGTTCTACATTTTAAATTTCCAAAACCTCTAACAATGTATCTGTTTGATAGATGGATTTTGCTGTTATATATTTCAGGTCCTCAGGAGTCTACATTTAATAGATTTCATCCACTATCAGGTATGTATGTATCAGGTTTGTCTCTGTAGCTGTCCCAGTCCTTTGGAATAGCCTCCCCCTGTTTGGAAATCCAGAAGGCCTATATCAGTGATGGGGAACCTTTTAGAAACCGAGTGCCCAAACTGCAATCCAAAACCCACTTATGTACAGTTGGGTGCCGGATGGGTGTGGCCCATTGGGTGGGCGTGGCCCATTGGGTGGGCATGGCTCATTGGATGGGCATGGCTGCGGTGGTAACCGCAGACTGGGTGGGACTAAAAAGTTCAATCAATCAATTCCAACTTTGTGAGATCTTTTTTTCCCCGCAAGAAATTGAAATTGATTGATTGAATTTTTTTTTTTTTTTTGAACATGGTGGTGGAGGCCTAAAGCAAAAAGATTTTATACAACCCAGCTGAAGGCTTAGAACTGGGGCGACGGTGCGCGTGCCCACAGAGAGGTCTCTGCATGCCACCTCTGGCACGCGTGCTATAGATTTGCCACCACGGGCCTATATCATCTTAGACTTATAGAAGGTCATCAAGACCTGGCTTTTCCCACAAGCATAGGGCTAAGAATGAAATCAGTTCAGCAATTCATGGAGTTGATGAGATGTTGTGGCACTGTGGGACAAGTATGATTTTTTATTTTAAAAAAAAGGTTTGTGAATATTGTTTATTGTCTGCTGTGAACCACCTAGAATTATCTTGTGCATAGGATAGATGGCTGTATATGTTTTATAAATAAATGTATTAATATTTTATATCCTTGCCATCTAAAAATGTTGTAGCATTGTATTATTGTCTGTTTAAATAAACTAACATGGCACATGCTTACATATAGGAATTTGAAGCCTACTCAGTTTTTCCTTTATGCAGAAGTGGAAGCTTCTGAAGCTGAAATAATTATTTCCCTTGTGCTACAGAGCACATAGCCAGTGGGTGTTTTTCTTTTCAATACCAACACTCACATTCCTTTATTGGCATCTTAATATCTTGATGCTGTTCAGGATCTTGCATTAAAAATTATAAAATATCTGAGAGTGAGCATTAAATTCTTAGTATATGTAGACTTTCTAATGATGTGGATGAGGGCTTTGAAGGATTTGTGAATTACCCATTTACTGTGGCCATGAACAAAATTTTGATCTATCCAGATCATTCAGAAACCTCTGAAGGAGGCAAAGAATACACCTGCAGCCTCCAGAAGTACAGCTTGTTATTTTTGTAGGATGGAAATAATAATGTAGTTCTCATCATGTTTTCTGTTTCTTCGTAGAATCTGCTCCAGTTCCACCAATTCCTAATGAACAGCAGTTGGCCCGATTAACTGACTATGTAGCTTTCCTTGAAAATTGAAAACTCTGATTACTCATTCATGATATGCTGTCTACCTTGAGATTCATTTGCATTTTGTTTATTTTGTTCAGTGTTGCAGTGTATGCACTACAGTGGAACATAATTTTACATTTTACCATATTGATTTTATTGGAGCAAGTCTTGTAATTTAATTCCCATAATTAATTGGCTGAGTATGTAGACTTAAATAGCTCATTGTGGAAGAAGTAGCTCCTTCCCATTTGTAATCTATCATAAATTGGAGGAAGAGTTAGCCACTACCATGGCTTAGCTGAAAACCAAACATTGAAAAAGGCAAGGAAGACCAAAATGCAGTCAAGTAATGCTCTTAAAACTAAGTCTATCAGAAAACATTGCAGTGTCTTTGATTATATATTGCTGTGCATTTACAATGTGTTTCTGCTTTGGCTTGTTACACATTGGAATATCTAATGGCAGATTTTGAAGGCTATTATTTTGATATACTTTAAAAGATCTGTTCTTGAATATAAGCACACATTATATTTGGAAGATACCAAAATATGTATTTGGTAGAATATATGCATGGCTAATAGCTCTTGTATTGTCCTGTTAACATTCTGGTTTGAGACTTAAAAAACCATCAGCTGATTTCTCAGATAGCTTGCTTGCATTTAAACCAGAAGGTTTAGATTGCCCTCTGGATGTTGCTTGTGCTCACAAGAAACAACATATGGTTGCTGAAGCCAGTAGATGAAATGATTCTTGAATTTCAGTAGAACTTTTCTCTATTGTAATCTTGCTTATGTGGGAAGAAACGACACATTTTGCTTTGTCATTAATTTTTGTAAAGCATGCTTCTAGAATTGTGGGTTTTTCTTTCTCCCTTGTTCTGTCACTAGACATTATCATTTAATGATCTGTTCAGAAATTATTGGTATCCTTTGTAGTGACACCTCTCTCCTAGTGAGTTATTACTGTATGCTCTTAACTATTTTAGATGTGTTTGAGTGAAAAAGGGTCCTAGTTTCTGCACAGTTACTTTAAGAGTATCTAAAGGAGTGTAACCATTGATTTTGCTATTTATTTGAAAACCTCAGAGTAGATGGGAAGCTTAATTTTGGTATTATTAAAATATATTTACATCATTCTGGTCTATTTTTAAGGTTAATTTTTCTTCAAGAGATGTATTTAGGTTTAGCATTACTTTAGCACTCTGTATGAGTTTTTGTGTGCGAGTTTGCAGGTGTGAAATTTATGTACATTAAAGAATACTTGGTGATATTTTAATGGTAAGATCCTAACCATGTTAAATATAAATTTGTCTAACTACAATGTAAGTATGGAGTGATGAAAAAGTAAGTTACAAAAGATAGAGAACATTTGTTCCCTGAGAATAAAAAGGCATTTAAGTAATTTAAGTTAAATAGAATGTAGGGATCTGTGTTAACCACGTGAAGCACAATAGGAATAGCAAAAACAAACAAACAAAAAAAACAGGCAAAACTATAAGTAGTAAGAACTTGGATTTAACACAAATGTTATACTGTTATTTTTACATAATAGCTTCAGGCAGGAAATGGTTATAAAAACTATTATTGGTTAGTGTAGAAGGGGATGGTCATGTTTATTTTATATTGTACAGTACAAGGAGGATATTTATATATTGCATGATTGGATAAAAGTGATACAAATAAAATAGCTATATGTAGTGCAGTGGTTCTCAACCTTTTTAATGCCGCGACCCCAACCGGTCATAAGTCGAGGACTACTCAACTGGTCGTAATCGAGGACTACTCAACTGGTGCAGCACCGTTTGCAGAATGGGACTTTTGGCGGGCTCAGCAGGGCAGAGACAGCCTGGACAATTCCTATTGGCTTTTGAAAGCCAATAAAATTAGACTTTATTCAAGAGAGTCTATTCTATTGGCTTTCAAAAGCCAATACAATAAAAGGAAGTAGCACAGCTAAGGAAAAGGGGGAAAAAATGGCAGACTGCATTGTTTGGCGACCCCCGTGAAATGGTCGTTCGACCCCAAATGGGGTCCCGACCCATAGATTGAGAACCACTGATGTAGTGATTTCTACAGATAGCCCTCAACTTACAATCACAATTGAGTCCAAAATTTCTGTTGATAAGCAACATAGTTGCTAAATGAGTTTTGCCCCATTTTATGACCTTTGTTAACACAGTTGTTAAATGAATTACTTCAGTTGTTAAGTTAATAACATGGTTGTTAAGTGAATCTGTCTTCCCCATTGACTTTATCAGAAAGTTGCAAAAGATGATCACATGGCCCCAGGACACTGCAACCTTCATAAATATGAGTTAGCTGCCAAGAGTTTGAATTTTGTCCACATGACCATGGGGATGCTGCAACGGTCATAAAAGTGAAAAATGATCATAAGTGTCAGAATCCAATTATATTTCATCTCTAGTTATCGACTATGGAAAACCCCATTTCTGCCCTCTCTGGATTCTGTCATAGGATGAAGGGGAAGGGGGGTGAACAAAGGGGTTTTATGGCCCTCACTTCCTTCGGTACAACTTCAAAGGGATTGAATGTGAATAACACCAAAAGGACTAAAGCATAACAATGGGGCCATCAGCTTTCATCTACTCCTCTCTGAAGTCTCCCTTCTACCGGCAGTGAGGAAAAAGGGGGTGGAAATGTAATGCCTGGGATTGTCGCTGGAAAGAAGGTGGGGTGGGGCTGCCGGGGACCCCTTAAAACCTTGAACCGTAGGGCTGGGCCCCAGGTCCTGTCTAGAATGCTGCAACCATTTTCTCTTAATAAAGGATGCATGTTGGAAGAAATATTCCAAGAGTTCTGTCTTCTTAAGATGCAAAGTGGGGTGGGTCCTTACATTAGACAGGACCTGTAGAATTAGTCCACCTGGAAGGGAGAACCTTGCCGGGGGACTTTGCAAAAATTACCATGTCAGACGACTGAGCAAGGAAGGGAGAAAACTCCTCGGAAAGGGAGCTGCTGCCACTGAAACCCTGCCAGATGTCAAGATCTGAGAGGTCAGATTCCTCAGGAGAAGAGGTGGTAGAGACACGGGACCACAAACCTTGGTGGTCAATGGGCGTTGGAAAGAAAGGCGAATGGGAAAAGAAATCAAGAAAGGTGACCCTGAGACGGGGGGCCAGCCAACCAGAATGGAAGCAGGAGATGGAGAGATCCCCGCATGCAAGTGAAGAGGAAGGGAGATGGGCACCGTACTCAAGCTCGATCCTAAAGAAAGCTATCGACCTGATGAAGAGAACTCTCAGCTCCCTAGGAGAGGAGGATTCTGAGCCCTATGGCCACACCAGCTCCTGGAATCAGAACTGGAGAGACACCAAGGGGGAAGTGGAACCTACAGCCCCTGGGACATCTGCTGATCCAGTAGTCCCCACTCCCTGCCGACCCATAGATGGTGATTTGGATGGAAGACACTACCACCAACAATGAAGGCACCGGTCCATTCAAAGACTCCTGCTGTTGAACGTGAAATTCAAGGGGGAGCCAACACGCTTGGGGTTTTTCCTAACCCAAGTCCTCAGCTACATGGAGGAATACGGGCGGGACATCCCTAGCGACAAAGCCCGTATCCGGATCGTGCAATCTGCCCTGGATGGGCCGGCCGCAGATTGGGTGGTGAACATGCATGACTCCAACACCCCAGAGCTCAACGACTTCAACCGTTTAATGTCCTATCTGAGAAGGAGATTTGAGGACCCCTGGCTCATTGCAAAGCCTGCGAAAGAATAAAAACGACGAGGCAAGGCAAATGCTCGGTAGCTGAATATACGCAAGAATTCCGGGCCATTGCCAGCAAACTGAACTGGCCGGAAGACATCCTCCTTAGTCATTTCAAAGATGGACTAAACTACAACCTATATGATGCTTGCCTGCCCTGAGGGGACCCAAACCAACTTGAGGAATGGTATGTCTTGGCAGAGGAAGCAGAGATCGACACATTGAAGAGACACCGAGGAAAACAATGGAGCCGCTTACCGCCTGAGTTGACACGCAAACCAGTGTAACCATCAACTACAGCCAAGAAGCAAATGGAGTGTTTCAAGTGTGGGAGAGAAGGGCATCAGGCTGTAGAATGCTGCTCAAAAGCCCCCCAGCACAACCCAGACAGATCACCGGCCAGCAAATCTGGAAAGTCTCCAGCTAAGCCAAAAGAACCTGCCATTAGAATGATGGAGGCTGTGGAATCCCCCACCTCTGCTCATCGGGGAAAGAACTCCAGCCTACACCGCAGGGCCAGTGGACGCCTCAGATGACAGCTTGGAGGGCAAACCCCTGGTAAGTGAACCCATCACACCCATCATCAAGACAGTGACTATATTAATTCCCCCCATGCCCAAAGCCGTGAAGGTGAAAGCCTTAATAGACTCTGGCTTCACCCGCTGCCTCATTAGCCCGATGCTACTGGGGAATCTGGGCATTCCGTTGAGACTGGAACAACCAATCTCATTTGGCCAGTTAGATGGGTCCATAGCAGGAGGGGTGCCAGCTACCCTAGCCACTTTACCAATCCACCTCTCCCTGGACAAACATGAGGAAGACATAACGTTTGTGGTGAGCCCAGGCATGGAATGCCCAATGATCCTAGGGATGGAATGGTTAAAAAAATGGAACCCCTGGGTGAATTGGAGGACGGCAGAAATCAAATTCCCAAAGGGGGACTCTATGGACTTAAAATCCCAAGGGGGGCTACCAGAATCAAGAACAGAAAAAGCATCCATGGGAGAGGAAAAGGGACTACCAGAAATACCAGAGGAATACTGTATTCACAGGTCCTGTCTAGAATGCCTACAACCATTTTCTCTTAATAAAGGATGCCTGTTGGAAGAAATATTCCAAGAGTTCTGTCTTCTTAAGATGCAAAGTGGGGTGGGTCCTTACTATAAGTCACTTTTTTCAATGCTGTTTTAATTTTGAAAACTCATTAAATGAAAATGTAATTCAAGGACTACATGTATATGGAAATGGTAGTGTTATGTATATGGTTTCTATATAATATCTCCCAGATAAATGTAGACATGAATTCCCTAAAACATACTGTCTATTACATCTGTCATTTATTGTACTAAGAGACTCTTTTGGGCTGTTCTTCGGTAAATTACATGTCTGTACCCTTCTCTAATAAAATAAGACAATTGTCTAGAGAGGAAAGGGCTATTATTTAATCACTTTGAGTTTGTAGCATAGTATGACCAATAATTATTTTTATGTAAGTATTCATTTCAAACCACATGATGTACAATATTGTGTTATGAAATGTCTTCATTTGAATAGCTCATGCTTACTACATAAATGCAGAATCTTGTGGCATTGTATCATGGATGCTTAAGAAAACTGCTTTAAACTCTGATGCAAATTCCAAACATATACTGTACTATAGGAATTAGAATCTTACATAAAATACAATTAAAATGCAGCAGGTTTCAGTGGGGAGAAAATACTAAGTTCAGAATTAACAGAGTAGTGAGACATACCAAAGACAACTAAAAGGGGATTCTTTGAATATATTAGAAATAAAAAGAAAGAGAAAGTTTAAGTCTGGTGAAAGAGGTGGTGAAATGATCATAGATAATGATTTTTTAATCTATCCTCAGAAGGACAATCAAGTCTTACTGGGCATAGCACTCTTATAGCATAAACAGGGGTCAGCAACCTTAAACACTCAAAGAGCCACTTGGGTCCGTTTCCCATAGAAAAGAAAACACTGGAAGCTGCAAAACACTTTTTTTTATTATTATTGAAAAATTTTTAAAAGTTTTACAAATCAACCCTCACCCATTTTTATACGACCACCAAATATGGTAATAAGTAGCATCCAAACAACCACATCTCCAACATTTAGGCTGTAGATCAGGGTACATAATAGACATTTTTTGTGGATCAAGGTGCCATCTATAAAACATTTTGTAAAAATTCTCTCTTAAATTCTGCGCTTGTGTAAATTTAACATTCCTCACCCAGATAAGTTCCCAGGTATCCAATGGGATTGGTTCACCAATATTTTGTGCCCATTTAATCATACAATCTTTGATTAATTCAGATTCTGAATCCATTTCAACTAAAACCCCATAAACCCTCTTAATATGAGTTGGTCTTTGATCCCTTACTTGTTTAAAAAGATTTTCATCTTCTCTAAGCCAACCCATATTACGATCCGTCTTCCATCTATCCACTATTTGTCTATATTGAAACCATGAGTAAGTAATGTTTGCATGTACTAAGTCTTCCAAAGATTTTAACTGCCAATTTTGACCATCCCATCTAAGTAGTTGTGTATAGGAAACCGTATCCATCTTAACTCCTCTCTTTATCCCCTCTATCGCATGCCAAGGTATAGCCCATAATGGTGTTTTAAAATCACTTTTATAATATTTCCTCCACACCCTAAGCAAAGAAATCCTTATAATATGAGATTTAAAAACCCGATCCACTTTTTTATTAAAAATTAAATAGGCATGCCATCCAAAAAGTAAATCCCAACCCTCCAAATGGAGAATTTCTACATTTGTTAAATTCATCCAATCGCTAATCAATGTTAGAACCACAGCATCATAATATAGTTTCAAATTCGGTACCTTGAGTCCACCTCTCTCACGAAAATCTTGCATAATTTTAAGTTTTACCCTTGGTTTTTTCCCTGCCCAAATAAATTTGTTAATACCTTTCTGCCATTCATTTAAGTTAAGTTCA